TTATAATCAATACAGTGATATCAGGAAATGTTCAGTCGGGGAAGTTCTACTGCAGTGAGGAGCGTTTGTCCCCCTACTGGCAGTGAGAGTCATTACACAAACACTGAACTCTACGGGGTTAATCAGCAACGTAAAATGTCTCTTTATCATCAAAGTCTGATTTTGATGTCAGTTTCTGTCTCTTAATGTCCTCAGAAAAGGTTTTCTGTCTCTGTCTTCCTTTATGTCTTTCAAAGATCTGATTCTGTCTGTCCACTAAGATTAGACCAGATAATATCAGATTAACTTTTATTGATCGTAGGAGAAATTCAATGTCTTGTTTTTAACTTGAAATGTTCCAAAATGTCTCTGTATGTCCCTGAATACTGTCTTACAGTATGTCTTATTCAGTTTATGTCCTACAAAAGGTTGTTTGTCTCTTTGTTTTCTTTATGTCTTTTGAACATTACATTAGAGTATAAAAAATGTCTGGCGGTTACAATCTGTCCTCAAATGTCTCCTGTTGTTCCAAAATGTCATTTTATTATTAGCGTATGTCTTTATGTCTCTTTATGTTGATATATTTTTATATAGTTGTCCTGTAATCCCTCTCATTATTGTACCTGAAGAATCTGCTGTTAATATCCATGTCCTTAATGTCTTAGTATGTCTCTGTCCTCAATATCTTTCATTTTCATTTCATTCAGTTACTGTTAGTTATATTTCTGTCTCCCACCTCAGAGTGCTTTGTTCTGTTTCTAAATGTCCCCTCAGTCTGTCCTCAGTCCGTCCTCCGCAGCCCTTCAGTGCAGCCCTGGGTTCAGACTGTCAGGGACAGTGTTGTCAGTGTGTCTGCTGTCTGTCAGAACACGGAGCATCATCAGCAGGCCAACATCTGGACCTTCACACGGCCAAGTCCTCCGTCCTCCGTCCTCAGTCCTCCGTCCTCTCTACATTCAGAACTCCGTTTGATAATCGCTCATTTTAAGAGAATCCAGCACCGTGATCCGGTGTTTAAACGCCGTGTGAAAGCAGCAGCTTCGTTCCGCTTTGTCTTACCGTCTGCAGGCGGACAGACAGGCAGGCTCCCGGTCTGCCGACCCCCGCCTGCCTCCGCTCTCCTCCCGCTGCGGTCCCGCTCACAGTCCGCGGGGCTCGCTGCTCTCCGGACGCCGGATCTCGCCGCTGATCGGTGTTTTATTCCGTTTTTGTTCCCGGTGCTCGCTGAACGGTGCGGAGGCTCGAGCCCCGTCTCTCCGACTCTCAGCTTGGGGCGCACTGCGCATGCGCATAAACCACGGCACGGGGAGGCGGCAGACAGGGCGCGTGTGCAACACCTTCATGTTTAGATACCTGAGAGTTGGATCAGCTGTCGCGAGACCTGCAGAGAGACAGTCCACCTGTCTGTCTGTTAACCTGTCTGTCCGTTAACTTGTCTGTCCTACTGTCTGTCTGTCTGTCCTACTGTCTGTCCTACTGTCTGTCTGTCTGTCTGTCTGTCCTACTGTCTGTATGTCTGTTAACCTGTCTGTTAAGCTGTCTGTCTGTTAACCTGTCTGTCTGTCTGTTAACCTGTCTGTCCTACTGTCTGTCTGTCTGTTAACCTCCCTGTCTGTCTGTCTGTTAACCTGTCTGTCTGTCTGTCTGTTAACCTGTCTGTCTGTCTGTCTGTCTGTTAACCTCCCTGTCTGTCTGTCTGTTAACCTGTCTGTCCTACTGTCTGTCTGTCTGTTAACCTGTCTGTTTTTTTTCTAGAAATAAAACCTCCACAGAGAGAATCATATACAAAGACTATATATTGATTAATACACTGATATACTGATCACCACTAACAGTTTATAGACTGATAT